TTTATTTTCCTTTGCCCACATTGATACTGCATCAATGTCGGGTTTAAAGCCCCTTTTATATTACAGAAAAAATGTGGTCCGGACCCATTAAAAAGTGGTCCAGACCAATTTTTTTTAACTGTTTACATGGGTAACGATCAGGTTAGGCTTATGATTGAAAGAACCCCAGGGCCTCGTAATTTGTACACTGTTTACACTGCTGATTCTTGTTGTCTGGACCAGATTTTTATTTGAGCCTTCGGTATCTTTCCTTATCACTTAGTGGTAAATACACAAAAGCGCGCGTGAAGGAAAGAAATATGGCCTCCATTATGGCTGCCACTCTTTTACCATTTCCTTTTATGAGGAGAGTGACTTTTTTTTCAGGGGAAAACTCTGCAGAAATATTGAACCGCTTCAGAAGAAAACGGAGAAGGAAAATTTTCAAGTGGTCAATGCTTTTTAGTGGCCATCATAATGAGCTAATGCACTATCGAGAGAACCATATGACAACTTCCTAGAACAGGTGCTTGGTTTCAGCTTGCATTGAACGAGTTTTCAGTCCAAGAATGGTACGAAAACTTTTGCTAGTCCAGGGCAAAATTTCAATTTCTTTTTGAAGAACTTAGTCCAGAACTGAAATCGGAAGATACAAAGATGAAAAAGCTGTTGAAGTAGAAAAGAAAGTGGGTCTGTTCTTGTACTTCATTGCTTCAACTGCAAGTTACAGAACACTTTCTAACCTGTTTGGTTTATCCAGGGACTTTGTTTGTATTTGTACCCGCAAGGTAGCCACTGCAGTTCTGAGAAAACTTGAGCCAAAGTATCTGTCAATTGCTAAAGGAGATGAACTTGCTCGTGGGATAGCTAATTATAAGGAGAAATGGGGGTTTCCCGTGTGTGCTGGAGCAATCGATGACACACACATACCAATTTCAACACCACAGCAAAATCATGCAAGTTACGTCAACAGGAAATTGTACCACAGTATTGTGATGCAAGCTCTTGCAGACAGTAACTACCTATTCCGTGTTATTTTTGTAGGGTGTGCAGGAGGTGAACACGACGCAAGGGTCTTTTCTTACTCACAACTGTACGCTCTAGGGTGTAGAGGCGTTCTAATTATCATCTAAGTAGAGCCAGGATGACAGTTGAGAATACCTTCGGATGCTGGAAAGAAAGATTGCCAAGATTCTCTAAGCGCCTGCATATGTAGGTTGATGGAGCAGTCGAAGTAGTAGCAGTTGCTTGTGTTACTCTTTACATTTGTGAGATGAGAAAGGAACCATATTTTGTAGAGTGGTTGCAAGAAGGTTTCAAACAGCCTAAGGAGGAAGTAATCCAGGATGGACCAATTGACAAACTGCCTGGATCTGAAGTAAGAGACACTCTTCCTGCTATTTATGTCACCCAAGGGCCAAAACTTAGAATTGGAGTAGATCTCCAGCTATTGTCATTGCGTTTTTAAAAATTACCTAAATAACAGCTAACTGTTGTTATTTTTTATATAACTGGAGATCAGTGACATATCTTCATGTTGCTATGTTAGAAGAGACCCAACTATTGATAAATGTCACCAATGATGGTCAAGCGTTGCGTTATATTTATTTCATGAGGTGATTCAATGTTACAGAAACAGAACCTGTCTAGTTTAGTCTAGTTTAGTTTGTTCTCATAATGTTTGTTTGGTTTATTTACAACAATAAATCCAACCAATTTTAAAAGCATAAATAGCTCTTTGGTTGCTCCGAGGTAACTCAACAACTCATTTCTTCAAATCTTCAAAGGATACCAGTAAACAAAACTTTATACAGCAAGAGTCTAACAAATGGCAACAATGATCATCATTATCAATTTTTTTTATCATAATCAACATCATCATGATCAATATTACCACTATTATGATTGTTTTAACAGTCACAACAGTTTCTTTTCAATCATCTTAATATACCAGTGTTTTGTAATCTCTTTGTATTCTGTCCATTTATCACTGATAGCACATATAGTCTCCAAATTAACTCTTGCTACAAACATTTTGAAAACGTTGAAACTAAAGAGCTGGATTCACGGAGACTTGCACACACTGTTTCAATTGACTACTCCATTTTTGTTTTCTTGGAACTTTCTGGTTTGTCACCTGTGATGCACTTAGATCTCTTCCTTTTTAAGAACTACCATCATTAGTGTCTGAGACTACATCACTTTCTTTCTTAGAATTCAGTTCTTAGCCATTTTCTGAGGTTTCTGTTCCTAGCAATAAAGATAATTATAACAGTAAATAATAGTAAATGAGTATGTTGCAGTTAATTTTTGTTTCCAGTTCAATTTTATTTTTTCCTTGCTTAAAACTCGTTATCATTCATCACATACCTAAAAACAACCGAAAAATAAAATTTAACTGAAACAAAAAAATTAACTCCAACATCTACACGCACCACACAGTCTGAAAGCCTCTAGTTAACTCTCCTTCCGATCCTCATCATTTTTCTTCAACTGGCAGGTTATCTAGTAACGATGCACAGATTATATTCATTTGGTGTATGATTTGAAAACTAACAGAGACAAAATAAAATTCTTAAAAACTTGTTCTGATTGATAACCTAAAAACACAGCAACAGCAACAACAACAACAACAAACACCTTACCATTTTCTAGAGAGCTTCCATTGTAGACTTCACTTCACTGGAGCTCCTATCCCACAGATGTGGTTGGTCAATGGTTGGGTTATCTTTAAAAATCATGTCCATTTTTTCCATGAACTTCCAGGGCTTCTTGGGTCTCGAATTCCCGCTCTTCTTGGCTTATGATTGATCTTGAGTTAAGCTGTACCATTTTCAGTCCTTTCTTTGGCAAATTGAATACAGCGATTGGATCAAAATCATCGTCCATTGCTAACGTTGTACTCGCTCGGGAGCCATTTTTTTTGTTCCAAAGTAGCAATGAGCAACGTGATTTCCAGTTACGGGCTGTAGTGACAGTTCCAAATGGTAGATAATTGGATTAAATGTTGCAATAGAAGTAGGAGTAAAAGCAAGTCTCCTTTGAAGATACTTCTCTTTTAAAATCAATTTCACTTCCATAGTTTGGATAATGTACCAGCAACTCACGCTTGAGGCCTTGGCGAGTCTGTTGGCTTGAGCAGAAAACGAGTAGCTGTTTTTGGTGTTCTTAGCGTTAGAGGAAGTTTGACGATCTTTAAGCATAAACATCGTCGTTTTATCCAAATCGTTGTCAACTGGGTTTGTGAAATTGGGCGAGACTAAAACGTAGTATATGAATTGGAATTTCACCTAGAGTTCCCAGAGTAGCTCTTTACACACCCGTTGTAACTGAGTGAATACGCAAGGGGAATAAAATTGTCGAGCTTGATCAACTTTATCGATAGATTCTCATTCGAGTGGTATCCCCAGTAAACGGGGTAAAGTTTACAATAACAATGACTGTAAAAGCATTGCACTTGTTTTAGGAATGGACCATTGAACTTTGATGCCAAAGAGGTGAGTTGGTGAGTTGGTCATTTGGTATAGAAATTATTTTATTTCCCAAACCCTTTCATGCACAGGGAATGTTTTCCTAAGGGCATGTGCATACATGATATTTTTCCTGAGCATGAAACATTTTGTATGAACCACCATATGAACTTCTCTTCCCTGTGTCTAGCCTTGGTTGTGTGCAGGAATTTCAATATCAATGAAATTTAAGTCACACCAAACTCAACAAGACATCTGTCACCAAAACCTTTCACTTTCTGATACCAGTGTGTTGGCCGGTGTTGTGACTTTACATGAGGTTGCTGTGTAGGCATGGCTGCTAGAATCATTTGAAGCACTTTCAGTTCATGTTCTCACATTTCTCCATTTTTCTGGTTCTTGGTTATGTTAAGATTAGTTTAGTCTTGTAATAATCATTGGAGATAATAATGTCCACAAAATCCCCCACCAGACTTTCACTCCATAATGTCTTTCTTCCACTTTCACCCTTAAGGCACTCTTTTCTTTTCTTATTTGCGAAGAGCCTTTGGCTGAAACTTTCATCATCAGCAGCAGCATCATTGCTTTCAAACTCACTCTCATCAGATGTTTGGCTAACAGTGGTGAGGAAAAGATACAATCAGATTATACTTTGATGACAAGCTCTTGTTAGAGAGGGATGTTACTGGGACCCTCTAATAATCTTCATAAATACCTTTATGTTTCTTTCTATGAGAGCCACATGTACTCTGGGTGACTTGAGTGCCGAACAAATACATATATGCAGTTGAAATAACCCACCCCGCTAAGGCCACAGTAAAATCCCCTTCTCCCACTAGCACGAAAATTGTCAATTTCCTAGGGTATGCGGGGGTTGGGGTGAGGGGGAAGTGGGGGAATGTTGAAAGTTTGAATTGATCCATGCATAACAATATACATTACATCTGGGCTGTCTGTGCTTGCCATCGCCCAACGCAACTACCGATGCAATCCTTAGACTTTGGGGGAGGGAGGGCAGGCAATGGATGAACATTTGATCATAAAATCCATTACTTCAGTGGGAGGTTTGATTGCGTACTTCTGCTGTGAGGTCAGGACATCTTAATTTTTGGCATAGCGCCTAGGACAAAGTTTCAAAGACTTCTGTTCAGACTTTTTCAATAAAAGTGACTTTTTATCTATATTTGTATTGTAGTTCATTGACCATCTAGTCAACGAAAGGGTGCACAGTATATAGGGGAGTTCCCCCAACCCCCTCACCCACATTCCCACACAGAACATAAAATGACGGGTGCATATTAAATTCATGTTTGGAGAATGGTCAGGAGGGAAAAAAAAATTTGCCACGCATATTTTTGGATGCCTACCTTTTTCAAACCTTTTTAACACTAGACATCTGTTCTTGTCATCATGCGGAATGATAAACATTTCCCTGAATGCCACTGGATCCTTCACTGCTTGTTCCGGTTGCTTTCACTTTTTGTCAAAGGAGGCCTCAAAATACGTCATTGAAGCCTCTGCTCTCCAATCAGGGTCACCTTTATTTTCAAA